GGCGGGTCTCTCGATATGCTGATTTTACGAGTCCTGCACCTTAGGCACGATTACATTCTTTTCTTGTGATGGAATTGCGATACCGACATGCCTAAAAGTACCCGACCAAGCTATTGACAACTTCCCCTCACACCGCATTAGGGAAACATATGGCCAGAAAAAGCCGGCTTAATCCGCTTGTTCCTCTCCGCTTCCTCCTCTGTGGTCTGAAAGTATACACAGGCAAATATCTATAGATCCCGCGTTGACCCAATGCGTCACCAGTTCACATGCGTGGGAGAAATTTCAGCAGCAACGACAGAAGTTCCAAGCCTAGATAGCCAGTGATTTATGCACATAAACTGAAATGCTATTAGGAATATAGTATTACTGCAGCTCAACTAGGGACTGAACTATAGCCACCACCCCCGATTAAAGTCCAACTTGGATAGCTAGGTATGAAGGCGAGCTAATGCAGGATCTTGCGCGATCTAAGAAGTAGGAAGCGGCCGATTCTGTCCCCGGTTCCTAGCAAATGCTGCTGCTTACGGCTTTCCTGAAGACATCGTTGGATGAGCAAATGCTTCAATAGACCTTAAAGGAGCTCCCAAGTCTAAAACCACAACTACTGGGTGAAGAACACTTTTACATGATTTTACGATGCTACACCGACGGCTTTGCAGGGCCCAAGATTACGAGCGCCTAACATACCAAAATGTTTCCTTAAAATTTCCCATAGCTCTCACTTCCCGCGTTTGGGAGCTTGGTACGAGTATACATGCATTATAAGCAATACTCCAACGCAAATTTATGAATGTCAAAACTTTGCTTTCATCAGCACTAGGGAGATCGCACCGCAAAGTTCTCTTCATCAAGCTGTCTTTATGGTCAATATGCCGATTACCCTCCCTGCGTAGCCCGTTAGGTGGGGCCAGCTCGCAGTGAGACTTACTGACGTACTGCGCTTTACGAGCACAAAATGTTGCTATCCAATCCTAGGAATCTCTATAATTTATCGGGGGTTGTGTTTATGTGCGGCTTTCTTGTTGTCCACATACACTTCGTTCTAATCTGTATTCCAGCCCAACCGCAGCACCACGAGATGGTAGTACACACGCGTGCCAAACTTTTCAACTTTTCCATACCAACGCAGGTTGTTCTTGCCTGTCGTCGTAATTATTCGGGATATTTGATTTCAGGTGTGCACTTACACGCTTTTTCATATAGTAGCATGCATCGCGCAGGCGACAGTATTTTTATATTACGGTCAACATGCATCGGCGGCAGTAGCCCAGGATGTACTCAGCTTTTCCTGGCAAGTATTCTCCTATAAAAATCCACAAACGTGGCGGGAGTAGTTCGCAACTGATTAAAGTCACAGCTTGCACTTTAAGTCTCTACGTTACATCCATCTGGACCCAGCTTACCATTAACTTACGTTGCTGCCCCCACTGCCGCATTCAACGCATAGTCCTTACTGTGGAACATTGCTCGTAAAATTTTGGGCCTGCCTGCTAAGGCACAGCACGTTGCACTCAAGAATAAAACATTTATTTATTTATTTGTAATGACCTTCTGGTACGCAACTTGTGCTAACCTCTGAGCTTTCTTTCAACCATTCTGTAGGAGTGGAGTAAGAATTTTAAAACCTATGGTGTTACGATAAAGTTGCCTTTAACTTGGCGCGCGCGTTGGGGATGAGGAGGTATTTGTGTATGTACCAGTACTATCAAAATAATGAGCCCGAGGTTGCGACTCGCTGGAAGATTTTCTTTATGGAGCAGTAAAGAAAAATAGTTCTTTCATCTTTTCGCTTGCCGCATCCTTCTGAGTTTTGAGTCCTTATCCGACGCTCCTCCCAAGGGGTGTCAGGAAACATACAATCATGCATGGCGAGACGGGCGTACAGTGTACTGAGAAGTGGGTAGTATTGGCTTCCTCTTACTACTGTAGAGTCAGCTAACGTTCACTTGGTTCGCCATAGTTTACGGGGTTCCCAAGGTGGGCGTTGCGAAGCAAACAAGCCTGATTGGCTTGGTAACCCGTTGCTTAGCAAATAAATTTTAGTGTTTTATGCTGTCCAGTACTTGGTATTTGGTAAAGTTTACCTTTAACGCCGACACGTAAATGCGTCTTGTCTTCATGGAGTTTAGCCTCTTATTCTTCAAAATATTTGACCTGAATGCGCTTCCTTTTGCTGGTTACTTGATAGACGGCTGCTTCGAGGCTATTTGTTATTCACCTCGATCCACTCCTGTGGGTAGCGCCAGACGTAACCGCTAAATTTGCATCGGTTATGCCTGCAGCGAGGACGGTTACGTTTGTTGTTAGGCCTTTTCTTTTGTTTGAAAAACCGGATTGCACCGGAGTGCCATGTGCCATAGACACCCCCGGGAAAACCACACCACACATGATTGAGGTCGCCGCCGTTGCCAGAACCTGGTGCCCCCTGAATGACACTTCTCGATGCTGAACTAGGCTGCACATTGCTGTTAACCATGCGCTTGTTGCGACTATTCTGTTCCAGCGAACCACTTAAGTTTAGCCAACGGTTTTTGATTCCGCTGTATCGAGACCCAAAACTGTGGCGTTAGTAGACGTAGATCTCGGCATAACCTCAGACAGCATGGCGCGTTTCTGCCAGTACGGCGGAGTCCTTCAATCCGCACAAAGCTAACTGGCATGTGGTGTGGTGACGTATTTTGCCTCTACGCTACATAAATTTCCGCACTTAGGATGAAATTTCTTACTGGTGTTTGTTATTCCAATTCGAACAATCTCGAGTCACGATCTTAATCATAGCTAACCTTTCCCTGAGAAGCGCGGATCATATACACCTTGCTTTCCTTGTGTTGCAAACTATGCCGAGGCGTTATTATATCCGCCGAGTTGAGAAAAAAGTGACATTGCATATCTGGGTCAACAAGGTGCCCTGCGCCATCCGAAGCTAAAACGAAAAAGTGATGCATGGTATTTTTAAGTAGCTGCTTCCTTTGTATGTTCCCACAAAACTGGAATACCGATAATTTGTTGCAAACAATTGCACCAAGTTCCAGCGCACTTTGCTCAAGAAGGTTCAGAGGCGGGAATCAAAGTCCCCGTCGGTGCTAAGTTATTGAACGTCTCCACGTAGACTTCCGCGCATCCACCTGAAGGCGGTCGTTCGTGAGCGGCTTCATGCTAGACTACGCGCAGGTATGTAGCAACTACTTTTACTGCTTGTGCGGTGGCAGTATGTGAGCACTATGTGCGAGCAGAAGGCACGCGTAACTCCATACCATCGGCCCGGGAAAAACTGAAGCTTTGTTTTCCATGACATGGCTGATCGATTTGGACACAGGCGAGTGCGGTACAATCGGCCACAATGGAACAAGTAAGGGAAGCGCCTGGAAGAACCTTTGCGTAGGTTTGACGGGTAATGCAAATGGGTCGTCGACAATGGAGTGTAAGGTTACAATATTCAACCCTAACTTTATCCAGATAGTTTGCTATTTACACTTAGTATAGCAACGCCATTGGGGCTAAAAATACCGGCCTCTGTCGCCCGCAAATCCCAGGGCTTACGGCCCTCCACTCTTGTGGCTAGAAGCAACATGGCGGCAATTCAGGAAACTAGCTGTAACAGTTATTCATGCACAAAATCAATTATTAGACACGGGGTCATGGCTCAAAGCTAACGAGACCGAGGAAGCCATAGGCTCCCACAAACGTTGCTTGCTCTGCCCGGGCTGTGAATTAGCGTCACGGGTTCAAGCGGGCATTGCCAGTGTTCATACAGAGGAATGCATAAAGCTGCGACTGGATAGGGCCATGCCAAGGAAACGTAGATCCCGCTAACTTGCTGCAGCTCCAAGGTTTCCTCAGAAACCCCCGATTTTGCAACGGCACCCATCAGTCAGCCGATGAACAGTAAGCGTGAAGCTGAGTTGGCTCTTCTTTGCAACCCATAGTTTTAAGATTCCTGGAACTCTGTTTCGTACCTTGCTTAGTTTTAACTAAAGTATTCTAACCTTTGAACAATCATCGAATTCACGCCGCTGCAGCAGCCGAAGTAGATGCAGTCGCACAACGGATAAACGATTTTATTATTGGCCTTTTAGTACACAAGCAGGCGCATTTGTCGAAACGGCAACATGGGCTTGGACGCATAGCTGCCGCGCGCAAACTTCCGTGTGTCAATGATTGCTATGATCACAATATTCAGGATCCTACATCTGGGACACTTCCTCAGTTGAGATATATGTCCCGCATCACGAGTAGACCTATCACACCAGGACACGTTTACAAACTAGAGGTTCCACATATCCACCACATTTACTACATTCTTGTTTTCCCTGACTCGTAAGAAATTGCTGGAACTGGTTGCTCCATCTGATTGTGGTTGCAGGTTTCGTAGTGTTTCAAGAGGGATATTGACAAGTATTTTGCAGACTGGTGTTTTGAAACAGGGTTACATTCGACGTTTTCTCATTGCGTGGATATGTGACCTCTGTATTATTAATTTTGATAGACCGAGATAGTTAGAATAGAGCATAGAGTATGGATTCTAGCAATATATTGTGTGTTACTAAGGGACAAAAAGGTGATTTTACACCTACCGACATTATTCATCAGTCGCCTTGTCTTTACTTGTGGTTAAGTTATCACACATTGCTCTCCTTTCCTACTAATGCAATGATGCAGATTTGACCAAAACCTACGAAATATCTAACCATGTATATTCCGGACATGTCCGCAAAATTCATTGACGATGGCAAGAATAGCCAGGTCAGATAGAGTCTTAATGTATAGACTACTTATTTTGGTTATTGATGTACTGTAAAACTGACTCAGCGATGCGCCACATGCATTCTCCTTTGTTTCGCACAATAATGATTTGTTGGCATAAGTTTAGTGAGACGTACAGTGTCAATGATAGAAAGTTAGGCTTTATTATAGTTTTTAAAAGAAGGATAATGTTCGCTTCTTTAGGACAACGTTAATGGTGTGTACTTTATAGTGCTTTCCAGCTGTTCCGCCGTTACCAATCCGCAATAGTATGGCGGGCTTATTGAAGGAACGCCAAATAGGCAAGTTCGTCTTGATGTTTCGTCTCGTTTATCATATTCTCATTGCACTTGTATGACTTCTATGTGTGCAGACAGCCGCTTTGCCAGGCGTGTTAATTGTAATATTATTCCTTTTTATCGAGAAATTGTTATAAAAGGTTGTGCTGTTTCGTTCACATTAAGTGCACTGTTTTCAAAAATGCAACCTTTAGGTTTGCGTCTCATGTTTATCATTTTATGAACTCGATGATCCCAACCGACTGTATTCAACCTTCATCAGTATTCTGGGCACGGTGTACACGATTCTCCTCGTTGATTACTCCAGGAAAAATTGGCATTAGCGGATCTTGAGGGTCGACACTAAGATACTGTATAGGTTAAGTCTCATCTTATCCCGAGCGACTGCTTAGATAGGCATTTTACTGCCGCATTATCGACGCTTTAGGGAGTATTGATCATCTTGTCACATGTTGACAGGTCAACCTGACCCGCATTTATCTCATTTATTCCACTCATCGAGATTACCAACCCTCCGTGGTTATCCAAGAAAGCTGCACCAACCACGATCTGATCGGGTTGGTACTGATAGTCGGTTACAACCCAGCGTACTGCCTGGAATGCCCCACCGAACACGGCCTTGACATCCCCGGTAAGATTTCGAGCATCGAATGGGTGCGCTTGGTTTGCAGCTACAAGTCTTTCCTTTCATAGCCTTTAGTACAACTCATGTCGATTTTACCATTCATTTTCAATGCATAGATTATGTTTGTTATTTTCGATTCAGTTCCTTTCGCCTCCTATTGCCGTTTTTTTCACGAGACAGGCACAGTGAGGGCAGCTATTGCAGTGCACGTTGGCACTGGTCGATTGTAGTGGGATGCGCGCTTGTCGATTTATCACTCAAATGACAAATCGCTTTGCACAAATGTATCCTGTATCAAGGACTTTTCTAAATTAGGCTTCTCGCGGTTTGTCCTTTTTTTCTTGTCCCACTTAAAAGAACGAGCGGGCGTAGTCAAACGAATGGTCGATATGAGATGGCTCCTGATAATCTCTTATCACGAGCCAAAACGACCTCATTATTCCCGTTGAACAAGGCTAACGTCCGATTTGTTGTGCTAGTCAGCAGATACTTAGATCAGAAACTACTTGTTGCGGGCCGTTATTTGAAAATATATTATGTATAGATGGTCGCCTGTACCGGAAGCCCAGAGAGCGATTCGAGAAGGCAGATCAAGTTGCAGGGAAACTTTTATTGGTACAGTAAAAGCTTCCCTGTTATCTAGTTATAAAGGAACGACACCGTGGACGCTCTAGCTAGGGGAACGGAGCAAGCACAGCACACAGGGCAGTCGCGAGTTGCAACCGAAACGAGCGCCAAGCAAAAATGGCGATGAGCAAGTCAAGCATTCGAACTCAGCAATCAGTTCAACCAACCACACCGGTTGCCTAGGTGTACAATGAAATAATTTTAGTTAGAATTTTACACGGGCAAACTGGGGAATCTCCAGACTGCTACATATGTGGAGTTCGTGGGTTCGCTTTTAAAGAGGATGTTTTTAACTGCTCACTTCTCCACAGGAAAGGACTACAGTAGTGCTCAGAAGGATACTCAAAAAGTATATTCCAATATTCGGATAATATGTCGATGATGAACAGAGTCCCAGATTCACTCCTGACGAGACTTCAGGTCATATGTGAGCGATCGGGAACGACTGCTGCCGCCACTTCTGGGGCTACAGAGATAACGGACCCACATCTGTGTTTAGTCTAGATATTGGGTGTGGGGGAGAGCTTTCCGGTGACGTTCCCGGGAGCTTAAAGTCGCCTTGATCAGGTGCCACTGATAGATCTACGGTCAATGAACTTAGGATAACTCGCCGGAGAATGGAAAATTAGGTTGAGACCCAAGTCACCAGAAAAGTCAAGGTAGATGAGGTGAATGCCAACTTCTGCTGCAACGGCGTAGAGTCGCCTGCACTATCTCATTGGACCCAATTAGAAATTTCAGTTACTTCCATCGAAAGTGCGACGCAAAGCAACTGTTGCAGGTCACTAAATGTATAGTACGCAGACGGCTGTAGCTTAGAAAATAAGTGGGTGAAACTGGTGCTGAGTTGCAGAGGTGTTGACGTGATTACGATTACGTAGACCTGGCTTTCCTCCAATGACTGTTAATGTTTGTCTCCTAACCGAATTCTGGGAGTGCAGAAAAGGCTGTCCTGGGTGCCGAAATGGTAGGGTGCTTTTGCTTGTACGATCTCATCCTAGTCATTGGCAAGTCCTGTTCACCAGGTTCACTCCAATTGATCAAGTCACTTCCTGTTTACTGAAGGTGGATGGCAAAGTTGAATTAATTGATTATGTTTGCTGCTGTCCATCCTCGACGCGTGGGGAGTACGAAGAACTTAGTGAGCTGCTAAAACGTGGTGCGCTTTCATCGCCAAGATTCGTGATAGTTGGCAACCTGAACCTGCCACATGTCGTCTGAGGCAGATTCTTTGGTGGGAGACTTAGTACAGTGGGGTATGGATGGAAGAGGAAAGTCAAGCGATGACTTGGTCTAGAGGAATAATAACCCTCACGTTGGTTTGTGCATCCCGATTGCCAGGTTGGCTTCCCAAGGACGATGAACACGTTTGGTGGGGTACACTTGCTGACGTGATGAAGAGTTGGCCCCAACGGCGTTTGTGTTGTGCGTTCTTTTGTCCATCTTTTCCCGTTTAGATTCCCCCTCTGATTACGACCTCCGACCAACTACATAATATATTTAACATATAACTTGCTTGAACTATTTTGTAGTCTAATTTTGTCATACCTTATCTGTTTGTATTGCGGCACGTTGGCTGTGATGTGTTTCTCACCCTTAGCTATCGTGTATTGATTATGATGAAGGTACCATGGCCGGCGGCCGTGTGTTGGCCGGTGGCCGAGTGGTACGCGCGTCTGGATTGTTACCATAAGGTCACCTGCTCGAATCCGCGAAGGGGCGGGCGTCCTCGTGGTATACTCAGCCCGCGTGGCTGCGAAGCGCTGTTACGGCGTGCAGCTGGCGAATTTATCTTTTATTTTTTTCTCAATGCGGTGCTTGAACCCGCCTCTTGCACGTCAATTTTCCAACTAGAAGATGTGGCAGGAATGTTTCTTCCTTCCTTAGTGAGCACACACACACTTCAACTGATATGCCGCAGGAAGAATGGAACATTTTGATAAAGTAGAACGAAACATTTTTAGTTTGTTTGTCACACGCCACTTTTGTTCTTTTTTTGTCATTTCAATGTTTATAGAATTAAACATGTGAATCAATACAATAATGTACACAATTCTTCCACTGATTCCGGTTGCGGGCCATATCTTCAAGAGTGCTAAGCCATTGGCACTCCTCATCTTTGGGTCCCCATCCTGGAAGACGTACGGATCCTACAGCGGCTAGACACGACGTCAGCGATTTCATGTGCTGTCGCCAAGTGGAAGGCTGACCACCACGCGGTCGCCTCCAGCCAGGTCCTTGACGAGCGAATAGAGCGCGACGCGGTAGACGCTCAGGTGCCATGCGTAGGACGTGACCGAGCCATCTCAACTGGCGCAACAAAACCAGTTTGTTGAAGGGAATACTCGCATTCCCTAAGATGCGACGTCGAACGTCATTACTATTAACTCGATGTTGCCACCAAACACGAGCGATCCTCCTTAAGCAACCGTTATCGAAGGCAGAAAATGACGCATGTCTTCCACGCGAAGCGGCCAGGACTCGCACCCATACAACAATATTGAGCGAACTGATGTGCTGTAAACGCGACGACGCCACAAGTGCCTCAGATTGACAAATGCCGATCGAGCTTTAGCGATACGCAAAGAAACTTCCTTGTTGATCGTGCCGTCAGCAGAAACACAGCTCTCGAGGTAGACGAAACT